AAAGAAAACCTTAAAGATAAAAGTTTTCAAAAAATTCTAAAAAGAAGAGTAGAGTATATAGAATAAAATAGTTAGATTTTAGGCTCTGTTAAAATCTTGCTGAGTAATCTGTAATAGTGATTAATAGGCAATGAAAATTGTACTTAGAGTTTTAATAATTCTTAAAATAGAGATGATGAGTTAGATAGAGACTTAGCTTTAGTAATATATTTTCTAATATAAAATATATATACTATATATTTAATAAAGCACATATATCTAGCCTGATAGAGAATTTAAAAAAAAATAAATAAATAAATTTATTAGCAATAATAAATTTAAAAGAATATAAATCTAGATTATGGATCAAAAACTTTTTCCACTGATTCTCTAATCACATATAAAAAAAATGTTCACAAGAAGTTTTATGCTTCCTTGCTAATAAAGTCTTTATATTTTTATTAAAACAACTTGAAACTTGTCTTCATATATTTCTCTTACCTTATAAACTTCTTGAATAAAAACTTGGACCTCTAGTGATCTGAAAAGACTTAAGTATATACTTTCTTTACTAAAGACAAGAAGGTTCTAGAAAGTAAAAGGATTGATAATTGAAGTATCATCTTACAAAGCTAAAAGTGACAGAAAATAGAGATTTTGTTGACAAGGAAAGGTTTATTATCCACTTTCTCATATACTGTTCTGTTTCTCTTAAAGTGCATACTGTTTTTTACAGTTTTCCTAAGGAATTTTGTTTACCTCAGTTTAATCTTGAATTTCTAATAGTATAATATCATCTGGTATTTAATTGGTTGATACGAAACACATTAGTAACTAAATGTAAACAAGTTCCTACTGGTCACCTTACGTGTTCTGATAATGTCATTAATAATTAAAAGAGTTGATTGGTACCTCATATTCATCCCATTTTCCAATTAAATTAACCTACAGATCAAGTTCCATGAGGTTAATAAGACAAGTTTCTAAGTGATGAAAAAGCTGCTATTTGTTCAAACTGAGGTTTTTTTCTCTTATTATTCCAGTTAGGCAAAGTTCAAGACCAAAGTCTCCTTTTTATTTTGGTTAAGCAATAAAATTAAACAATCTTTAGTTCATACTAAGCTATAACTCTTTAATTATAGTTGAGAATATATTTTTCCAGAAGTTGTTTAAGAATAATATAATCAATGAGAATATTTATTACTTCGAGATTCTTACATTATTACAAGATAAAAAGATTATTAGGGAATCTGACCTTTTGGGTAATGGAAGATATATATCAGTAAAATTTCTTTAATTAGGTATAGTTGCTAGAAGGTATTATATTAAAACAACATAATTCAGTTTCTACTAGGTTACATAAAAACCTGAGGTCCATCATAAGTCATCTTCCTATCACAGGTGAATAAAAAATTATTGCTTAAAGAAAGTTAAGACCAAGTATATCTTGAAAGTAAAGATTCCACTAGACAATAAGTTTTCTCAGACTATATACAAGAAGGAAATTAAAATCAAGAATAGATAAGTTTTTCAGATAATTAGAAAAAGAAAGGATATTTCAATCAGGTATTTTTTATCGAAAAAAGGTCTTGAAAAGCAGGTCTTTGGAAAAAGCTAGAAATATTTTTTTAAAATTTTTATTTTTTTGTTTTCTTGTTATCTGTTTAGACATTTTTAGATATTCCACTTCCCTTTTTTCAATCTATCCTTTTGTAATTTCCTATATTCTAGGGGTTTGGTATAACATATAGCAGTGACAACTTGCTGGTAATAATGTGATGGACTAGGAGGGTTTTTACCCAAAGACACTGCAGAACAAAATATTGTTTCCAAGACTGAACTTAAAGGCTTTTATGCTTATAATAGATTAGTTAAATTAGAATTGATGGTTTAACTATAGTATGTATCATGCTGCTCAAATGAAAATGTACTTATGTTTTCAATTGATTAATAAACTAACAATCTAGCCTGGCTATAGGTACTCAGAAAAAAAAAAAAAAAAAAGAATATAAATCTAGATTACTGATAAAGTATTTCCAATATAATACCTAGAATTAGTTAATATAGGTAGGTGTGTTGAATAGAATAAAAACTTTAATAACTTTTTCAGTCTGACGGCAGGTAAAAAAAAAAAATAAATAAAGTAAACAAAATAAGTTTAGAAATAAAAAAATAAACATTCAGTATACTGTATATAGAAATCAAGAATTCGTCGCCTTCCAAAAATAATTATCCATGTTATACTGTAACTTTATTTTCACTTATTAGTATCCTTTATTTTCATTTACAATTATTCATATTTATAACTTTATTTTCATTTACAATTATTCATACTTATAACTTTATTTCATTTATAATAATTAAAGTATCAAAATAACCTTATGTTGAATACTAAAAAGAAGTAATAACTTTCTTTGTTCTCAGACTGTTGCAAATCTTCGAAAGAAAAAGAAGGTTGCGGTGCGAAAAATGAGCCTTATTCGATATCCGTTCATACAACAACAATACACGTGTATACATACATTATCGATAGCGACGGATGAACAAATCAGGGACTAAAAAATTTCGAACTGAATCGGACCACTCGGAAGCATTTATTATCATGCACAGTGATATGCGAATTTTATAGATTCATGGTTGTCATTCAAATGCAAATAAAAAATCATTTATACATCACTCTTCCCAGAAAATTAATCATTTTTCCTTTCGAAAACGCTTTAATGTCATCACCATGTGATCATATATCTGGAACACGCGATTATCACACTTATCAAATTTTTTTTACATGGGGAAGTGAAAAAAACTTTTTAAATAAATCGTATTGAGTTAGAGTTTTGCCTTGTTTTTTTTTTTACAGTACCTTCTCATACGAATTCTACAAACATAAATTTCACCTTTTTCTCGACGACTTGATTTTCGACCCTGTCGACCAGTAATGGCAGCTTGCCTTCCGTCTGATTGTCTCTTAAATATTTTTTCACAATTTGAAGACGAAGCAGGATCATTGCATTCTTTTCTGCTAACAAATCGAAACTGGTGTCTCAGTGTTGTTCCATTATTATGGAGACGAACGTTCTATGTCACATCTCACAGTAACTTTTCATCAAAAAAGAGAAGTAAGTTGGTGGCGACCTACTTGGCATGTTTGGATGATAAGATTGCCTCGGACATTACGGCATCATCAACACCGATTGCGTCCCACAAGCCTCGACCTCCCATATTCGATTATGCTACATTTTTACGAGGATTTGATTTCTACGATGTATATCATGCAATAGGGAATTGGTATGCTTTCCAAACCCTCGAACAAAAGAAAAAAATAAAATTTGATCGATTTCCTGACATGAGTGATGACGAATGTCGTAAATTGTTTCTTACGCGAGAGTTGATGAAACATTTCATTCGAAGCTCTCCGATAATTGATTATTTGGCACTAGACGCGGAACAATCGATGCCACCTCAGTGTTGGCCATTTTCAAATTTCCCAGACGTCCATAGCTCCCTAAAGTATATTCGAACATTCGTATGTCGCGGCAACGCTAACAAACGAGAAGTCTACGCCGCTCTTTCTCGATTGTGTCAAAATATTGAGTTCTTGTCGATTCACGGGGTTGGAAAGGATGACCCCAATGGAGAGTCATTGAATAATTTGATTCAGGCACAACGCCAACTTTGCAAATTTGTCCTTTGGGATGGCACCGAGGATCAATTGCCCCAAATTATCCGTGCCCTTACACTGCGAGGTGACAAACTCACATCTTTGGAATTTAGGTTTTGCAATTTTTCAAAATCCACGCCACTGGAAACACTGGCTAGTTCATGCACAGGATTAAAGATTCTCAAACTAATTCATTGCGGGGAAATAAATAGTCATCTTTTGGAATCCAGTCCAACTCCTGTATTTGTCGGTTTAAATAACTTGGATTTACAAGGGACTTACATATCCAGAGAACCATTAGAAGCCATCTTTAAGTGGTCCAACCGAGATTTACGGAACGTACACGTTGAAAGTATAGGCAGCAGATTTCGAATTCCAAAGATACTCGAGAGCATGGCGAACCATTGTCCGAACATAACTCACATTAAAGTTCGCGCGAAAAAGGACAAACTCTCACAATTGGTAATTTTATTTCGATCTTGTTGTAACCTACAATCCCTAAAAATTTATGGGTCGTCACCCGATCGCCTTTTCTTCTTCGCTCAAGACACCGATGACGATTTATTGATGAACTTGAGACAAGTCATTCCAGTCAAGTTAGGAATTTTAATATTGAAAACAGATTGTGCGTTCACCCCGTTAGGAGTTGATGCGTTCCTAAGAGATTGCGGTGCAGAATTGAAACAATTGGAATATACTAGCTACGGAAGTATTTGGCAACATCTGAATGTAGTAAGGAAATATGCAAGGAAACGTGGATTGGAAGTTAAACGACAGATTGCGGGAAATTATAAAGAGCTATTGATGAGGGAATTAGGTTACGTTATCATCGAGTTTGGGAAGAGGTCAGTTAGCGAAACGTGAAGTGACTAATAGAAATAGATAAACGAGGGAATAACGAAAGGAAACTTGATTAATTGATTTTTTTTTTTTTTTAGTAATTTAATATAACAATTTTAAGCGTATAGCGTTTTAATTGTAGTATAATTAAGGGAAGCGGTTGAACATTGACCAACGAACAGGTAGCAGACGAGCGAATGTGTTGTTAAGGTCATTTCTGGGATAATTATTTTTGGATTCGGGATCTTTCTATAATATTGTTGTCGCTATTTAATTAATTTTAATTCTTCATAGACCATATTTTTGCGAAACCTGTTCCATAAACGAAATAGTCGCGGGAGTGACCAATAGGAACATGTGAGATTGAATTTGCGTATACGAGCAAACTTACTCGTTTTTAATAAATATTGTTTTGCACACTATAAATACGTTTAAAATTCTATACATAAAATATTATCAACAAAATTGCTCTTTTCAACACATGACATCGAGTCTGCTCATTCCCGCGTGTATGATCGGATGATCATTTATGCCTTTCGTGTAAACTTTCTCTACCGACCTGGAAGCTCTCTCTCTCGGCCATGAGGTTTTCTACCCATCTTTCTTCTTTATACCCTGTCAACATTTTATTATCGGCTGCCTCATAATCTATTCCATCATATTCCATAATTAATCTTATTATGGTTTCAGGAAGCAAAACATCGTTTATAAATCGAAGCTGCAGGTCATCCGAATAGCTATTAAAGGTTGACCGTGCCTCATCATCTTGTCTCGGCATTTCTTTCGATCTTTTTAAGGTATTGGCTTCTCTGTTCTTATGTGTGGATATCATCAAATTATTAATGGATTTTGCAATCCTGGGAGCAAACATACTTATCAAAACATTCATAATCATGTTAAACTCATTTGAATCAAATGGACCGGGTGATACATTCTCTGCAAGTAAACTTCGTTTCTTTCCACCTTCAATAAAATGTTGATATCTCCACGCTTTTTCATCCTTACCAAGTAAAACTTGACGCAGTTGTTCTTCGAGATTACGAATTTTCTTATAAAGATCAGGATCATAATAATCAGGATCCTCATCATCATCAATCACGACGAATTCACCCAGCTTTTTGTGATGTTGAGAATGTAAAAATGTCAAGCAGATATGTTTATATACATCTTATTCCTGAGATGTCGAATTAAACGAATTACCTGGCATGTTTGGAATCCCTTTTCGTATTTCGTATAGAATCTATTCCTAGGGATAGTATCACTTGTCTTGTCACAGAATTTAACCTTATATTTATTTGGCTATTAAAGTATTTGCAAAATGTTGTTGAGAGAAGTGATGATAAATTGGAATCCTGATCTTTATAACAATTACCTCAGTGTAACCTACGATTCTTGCAGGATAATACTTATTATCTTTCGCAAAAGCAAGCACTGATTCACCGGGAATCGTGAGGCTTAAAATATCGATCGGTTGTTTTTAAAATTCTCATTAATTATTAAATTAAAACAGATAAGTGTGAGAATCCTGATCCAAACCTTTCATCCTTGCCAAAGTTTGGTTCATCTGTGACTATGGTGCGAGCCAATTTCTTTCTTCCCAATTTCCTTCGCTTGCTCGGAGATTCAACGACTTTATGGAGTGCCCAAGATTCACTGGGCAAGCCATCATTGTCTTCCGTTTCCCTTTCCATTGCTTCCGATAATGCTTTGCTAAAAACATCTCCGTGAGGGTATTCGACCTCTCTACGCAGCTCGGTTGATAGGTCACTATCAAACGGGATAATATGCTCTTCCAAAGTGTCGTCGAGCTTCACAATTCTTAAATGGTTATCTAGTATTAATTTCATACCGCTAAAAATTATTGAATCAACAATTCGGAATGTTAACGTTCAATTACCTTGCCGGCAAGTTGCCGAAGAGTTGGATGTATAATGGTCTTTCATGTCTATCTTCACTAATTATCTGATCGTAAATTAAGAGTTAATTGAGGTGATTATATAAATGTGAGAAATCATACCGCCTACCTCGCCAGGCCACCATCCGTGTGTTTTATCATTCACCCAGACAACGTTAGTGACCATTAATGACTTATTCCGTTTATTGTTAACATTGGATCGCGAAAAAAGCAACGGAATCGGAGATGGCTCGATAAGTACGTATGGCACCTCCCTCTTTCGGATATCTTCAAGGAGTTCATATGACTCCTTTTTTTCAGTATCTTCGAGTGACAACGACGAAGTTCTACGAGCCAAAGTTGAGCTAACGTCAAGTGGCCTCGTATCCTCATTCGAGGTACTATGTGTTTCGTTGACTTTTCCCTCAACATCACCTAAATCTCTGTATTCATGCCTAACATTTAGGAAAACTGTTTCAGACTTATTCGAAACATGAATATTTGGTGTTGACAAATTGCATGGAGTAGTTGAAGTTGACTTGAAATCGTAGCTGGTCAGTAGAGTTCGTTCGCATGTAATTTCAGAAGTCATTTTGTAATTTGTTCTAATAGAAAAATCGGTAAAGAACCATTGGTACCTTTCCCATCATCCGGCCACATATCGGAGTGTTAGCTCGTAGAACCCAAACCTATATATAGTAAATTTGAATTTCTAGGATCGGCGAACTAAACTTAGGCGGATTAGGTAATCAATGCGTAGTCAAAACAAGCATTTACATAAACATCTTTTTTTTTTAATATAAAAATAAAACTTAAAAAAAAAATAATTCTTTTTTTAAGAAATTACTAAAGAAAAATCTATATAAATTCAATAAATATAATTTATTATTAAGTTTCAACAAATATATAATCTTTTGATAATATATAAAATAAATATAAGAACAAATAACTTATACTTTATTTTTTTTTTATAAAGAAAAAAAAAATTCTAAAAAATTAATTTATAGTAATCTTTTGAAAATCCAATCTCAATTTTATAAAGTTTTTAATTAAATTAATATAAATTAATATTTTTTTTAATATTAAAAAAAGTTTTATAAAAATAATTTTAATAATAAATTAATTTAAACTCAGAATTTATAATATATAAAAAAACAGAACATTTACAAAGTATTTATAAAAAAAAAACTCTTTCCGCTGATCCTTATTTTTTTCAAAAATTTCCTTTTTTGATAATTTTCTTGGAAAAAGTGAATCAGTTCAAACATACAAGGAAAAACAACATATTCTTTAAACCAAGCTACCAAGCACTTTCAATATACATACAACAAGTTACCTAGAACTATCAAAAAAAGAGATATATACTGCTTTACTAACTTTCTTTTACTTCTTTTTCTTAAAATTTTAGGAGAAAGAAAAGAGACCTATAAACTGATTCACAGTTAAAAAAAGAAAGTCGATATCAACTTCACATAGCTTAAAACCAGGCCAGTGCAAGTTAACATCTTTCTTGACACTGTAAGGAATTCAAAAAGCAATTAAGTTCACTGATAAATCAATTTGCTCCAATTACTTAAAGGTCCAAAAGGATATCAAAGCTTTCTAAAGACAAGACAGTCTAAACGTATATATACACATAAACAACATATCTATCCCTGATCTGGTTACATGAATACAAACACATAAAAGCCAGACAAGCAAAACATGCATACATGTAAAACTGACAAGCAAAATACACACGTACATATATAACTTGTTATTAAAACAAGTTGATCGACACTCCACACAAGTACAACAGCAATTGTCAAAGTAGGATAAGATTATCAATATAAACAAATAAATACATCAAAACAACAAACAAGGTTTTTTTGTATTACCTAATCAAAACATATAAACAACAAGAAGCTCAGAAAGGTTTATTCATGACCTAAAAATAGATTATTGATAAATATAAACAAGCATTCATGTGACTTATCAATAAATCTGAGCCAATAAACATGAATAGAGTACAATGTATATTACAAATAGTCAATAAGAGAAAAGAGGATATAGTAAACACTCTAGTCAACCTCTCAAGAAAATATGACGAATACTCCATCCTATAGATCACATAACAATTACTACAACTAAGAAATAGTAAATCCAATGGATTGACAGCTCCACTACCAGAAATATATATGATTTTAGATAGCATTATAGCTAAGATATTAGAAGTTGATATGACAACTTTTCACAAGGAAAGAATTTTAACTTAGCATATCATATATCTCTGGCAACAAGGCAAAGGGATAAAAGAAGATCTTTTACAATCCTATATTGAAAACAAGTTTTTGGAAATAATCAAAAACCCTATAAACTTTACAAAATCAATGCAATAATCAATGGATATTATCAAACAAGTAGATAATGAATCAATATTAGATAATGAAGTAACAATGACATATGCATAGGAGACAGAAGAGCTTGAATTACAGGAACTCCAAGAAATAGTCAAATGACAATATATTAGTGAATACAGCTCTTATACTACTAGGAGTAGAAACATGGCACCATCAATAAATCCATACTTCATAAAAAGAAAAAAAACTATAGATTAGGAGCAATGACAGCCAATATTCCAGGAGAAACAATAGACGAAACCAAAGTATACTTGAGCAACTTTTTTAAACTGCCACAAGAAAAATGAAGCTTGTTGAAAAAAGAATTTATTAATGGAAATGAGTGAATAGTCTTTTGGGTACAAGAAGAAGAAGATATTACAAGATATATAGAAAAAGTTAAGCAAAAAGAAAACAACTTCGCAATTCAACACATAACATTCTAGACTACCCCCAAGAAACAGAAAACAGAAAGAAACTTAGACAAAAAAATCTTTTAAGAATTTAAAACCAAAGGAAATACTGAGATTTGACATATATGTTTAATAGATATGGATTAAAAAGTCAATAAGAACCTTATAAAGACACATCAAAAGAGATATGGAGAAGTTCAAAATGTTCACATTTACAAGGTAAACACAAAACCACGGGTAAAGGCTTATATCAAATGGCATAAATATCTTAGCTTAAATTCTAAAGAAATCTAAATGACCCCAATCAGTACAGAAATGTCTAGAACTATATTTTTTAAATTTAAGCTTAGCAACAATAAAATCAATCAGATATTAATTGAGAGAAATAATAACTCAGCAAGACTTCTGGATACTGACAAAACCTACACTAGCCTGATAGCCAGAGCATTAAATGGTACTCAAGCTAAGGCATACTATATATTCAAAAATCCCTATACACTCAAGAAGCATAACTTCACAGTAGTCTGCTTCAAAATGAAAGAAGAAAGAGATAAGGCATATAAATAACATATCTTCTTGCAGGGATATTGTCTCTCTTGAAGTATCAAGCATACTTCTAAAACAGAAAGACAAAATCCTAAAAATGAAAATAGAAATATAAGATTTAGGTCCAGAAGCATAGAAGTAGATAATGAATCAACACTAGATACACAATCAGATAATAAATCAACAGACTCTACTTCTACTTTGCCAAGTTATCATAGCTTTAGAAATCAGAGATGAATTAGATGCAAAAGTAACAACAGAATAGAA